TCAAAACGTTTGAGACCCACTGAGATAACTTAGACTAAAGTGAGCTATCTAAACCCTCAGAGTCCTTTACCTCACTGAGCCTCTCAGACAGGACAGAACTCTCCCTCCACATTATTGTAGAAAAAGCTTCTTATATACGTTAGCGCAGCAGAAGCTAACAACAATCCCCGCCGGTACCGGTGCACCCCCTCTCTCTCTCTCTCTCTCTCTCTCTCTCTCTCTCTCTCTCACTTTGGCTGTGAGCTGCGGGCGCCTGATAAGCCAACATCCCCCACTTTCATCACTTGCAGCGCCCATCGTACAGGGCAAATGGAAAATGTAACCGGGGTGAAAAGGGTGTTACTTACTTTACTTAATTATGAATATTGTTACATCAAGGCTGAATTTTTTTTTTTTATTATATTTGTATTATCTTTGTATTTACTCTTGTGGAAGTGCAGATCCCCTGTCCTCCACCAGGGGGTGCTGCAGCACCCTCAGCACCCCTACTTCCCACGGCCCTGTAGAGCACCATATGTTTGGTAGATTTGGCAGTTATTTGATATAACTCAACACATTAGTTGTATTTCCTTTAACAGGTGGATATAGAGTTGCTGCAGTGGAGACGCACAGCTGATAACTGGAACACAAACCACCAAATAAAAAAATAAACATTAATTGACTCCACTCCGCACGGATCCCCCGATACATTCTTACAGTTGCTCATCATGGGGGGGGGGGTCTTCTGTCCCCGGCACAAACACACTGCCTGAGGAAGGCTATGTGTATTTTTGTCATTAACCTTTTTCGGACCACTTATTTATTTATTTTGATGATGATCCGACCTCCATGCTGCTACTCTGGTTCAAACTGCATCCACCAAACAATATGATTTATCTCGACCTCCCCAAAATAACCAAAATCTGACACGGTGTGAGATGGGAAAAATCGGCACAATGACTACTTTGGTACTTTAAGTATATTTTGATGGTAATACTGTTGTACTTATACTTGAGTAACATTTTGAATGCAGGACTTTTACTTTAACAGTATTTTAGGTTTTATAACAAACATTACTTCCTAGTGAGTAGAAATATTTCAGACATGTGTTGATTATTATGATAATTTGTGAATCCACTGTCCTCACCTACTTGAAAAACATCAGATACGTTATGTACTGTAATCTGAGTGATTAATTTGGTGATACTTATGTAAAGAAATAAACTCCAATTCAAGTCCAGTGCCATTTGTTTATTAATTGCCCTCCATTTTCATCTATCAGATGAAAGAATACTAAGATGACAATACAGTGAGTTATTGAACAGATCGTCCCACAGCCAGCAGACACTCGCTGACCTTTTTATTTACATAGGAGCAGACAGATCTCGTATTTGTATTGGGGGGACAATCATTCAAAGAGTCAAAGAAGCAGATCTCTGGAGCCAGGACAAATCCAGCGTCAGGGTATGGATGGTGGGACAGGAAGGGGACATGTAAGACGGAGGGGGTCCGGATAGCAAAAGCATGACTCGGGCTGATGGAGGTGAGGAGAGGGGGGGCCATTAGGGGTTGGCAAGTTCATCTGATGTCACAGAGGAAGGCAGGCTGTCCAAGGCTCCCATCTCTGCAACACACACCAACACAAGTACATTACTACAGACATAAGAGGGTCAGCCAATCACAATGCTCATCATGTAGGCCTACTCACAAACCAGCCATAGCACCAAATATATATCTGACCATGGTGCAGTCACTTAAACACTTTAGTGTCCTTTTGACAGTCAGTGTTACTGCTCTGATTTTTAAATGACTATCTCGTTTGCACTTGTACACAACATTTCCACGATGTAATGCAGAAAGATGACAAACTCTTACAGTAAATGGGTTCTTGCTGTGTTTATGGTTAATTTTAGTATTATTTTTTGTCTCATACTCCGTAGACTTGGCTTAGCGGTGGTGACATGAAGTTATGTGACGTTTGTAGTTTGTTCAGAGCCTAAGGTTAGCCATTTACCTTTACAAAATCTTAAAAATTATGTTAATATGTGCATAATATCCTATTGATCAAAATGTTTAAGTATCATAAATGTTTGTTTGATACAGAGATTATATTCTGCACTATTCCAAAATCCAATGGAAAGGCCCCATTGCCTTTTTGTCAAGGTCAATGGTAGTGGAGGAAGTCTGTGTGGTAAAGTTAATAATGAAGAAATGTTCCATTCCACATTCTGTAGCATAACCCTCACTTTGAGGAATATTGAAACAGAAAGCATGAGCATACCTTTAAGTTTAAGGTACGACAGGATGTCGATGACAGTGTGGATGATGTCTCCATCTGCTATTCTCTGGGCACCTGTGGAGGCAGAGCAACAAAGGGCAGTTTGACAGGAGCTGTGCTTACAATAACATGGGAAATAAATATCTTTAGACACCAAGATATCTGCATCAAGGAAGAAGCTTTTATTATCCAACATGGCAGAGAGTCACAGAGAAACCTGAACCAAAAAACGATATAAAGTAAATCAGCGCACCTAAGGTTTAAAACACAAATTGAGTTTGTCTTTACACAAAGAGAGGAAGGTTTCTGTTTCACAGGGCACACACACATATCTACAGACCAACACAGATAGAAACACAGAAACAGAAACACACACACCTGTTCTGTAGTCCTCCTCCATGTCCCTCTTCCCAGCGAGCCCCGCCTTGTCTACGAGCGTCCTGTGTCCATCGATCCCGTCTAGACAGGGAGGATCACAGTCAGCACCACATGTCAGAGGTGTGTACTGCAGTTCAACTTGATTAAAGTATTACAGCTACTTGGATACATTTCCTAAATATCCCACAGTTTTAGAAATAATCACACATTAGAGACAAATACATACAGAGTACACACATGACACCACTCTGCCTAGATTTCATAAGAAGATAAAGGACATTGTTGTACACTTGGTTATTTCAGCATGGTATTTGGTTTGTATTTGTTTGGTTACATTTCCAAACTTGTACGGACCACCTGCAGGGCTTGGCTCATGGAATTGCAGTAAAACAGAAAAGTACAAAACATAGAATGGACTACAGTTTTAACACACAAGGAAACGCATTTGGATAATAAAACGTAAAAAATATATATATATTGGACAAGCAAAGACATGGTACAGGACGGACTCTCACCACTTTAGTACACAGCACTAGAAGGTCTCATAGAGAAGCTATATGCCTAACCAGACGTTCATTTTCCAAAGCAACCACTCACCCTTTAAGTCTGTTCTATCTTAACACTGATTACCACACATTTTACTTGGCTATGTTTAGCCTAGCTTAGCGCTAGCCTTGCCCTGTGAAAAAGAAAACATGTGCTACTAAGTAATTACCATTACCACGATGTTTCACCTCAGATAGCACGACAATAATAGAGTGGTGCAGATATGAGTCATAAAACTGAGGATTGAGTTAGCATTTAATCACTTTCGATTCCCTCGTTTCAAAATTCAATGGTTTTCGTTATAAGCCTGGAATAAGGTCTGTGAGTAATACAAGCTGTGTTTGTTCAATGGCAAAATAAATATGTCAGAAAATACCCCACGGATGACTGTCTGAAGGTATATGAGTCATAAAAACAGCGGTTGCTAACAAGTAACTCAATTAAACAACTAAATGTAGCAGCCGTTAGCTTAGCGGTGTTCAGAATCCAATAGTTTTACTTCTGCCGATTGCATTTAATCTTCAAAAACCATAAAAGTGTTGTTAATATGTGGAGATTAATCAGCTGAATGAAAAGTACAAGTGTCATAAACATGTGTTTGCCACATATATAATTATAATCAAAGCAAACAGCTTTTACTAGCCCAAGTTTGTGCCTCTCAGCATATTATAGTTATCTATGGGCTTAACACCCAATTTTGTATGAAAAATATGAGGCTGCAACTTGGACTGCACAAGTTGCAGCAAAAATGCTCCTGTTAATATATTAAAAGTAAAACCCAATGTTACATTTCTTTTTTGTGATTTTTCAGAAAAACAGATGCTTAACTCTGAGACCTATTTTCAAAACGTAGCCGAGGTTCAAGCTTGGGCTCACACAGTGTTTACTGATGATGAATTCATTCACTGAACTGCAGAACCTTATCTGTGTTCTTACACTGCAGCATTACTCACCAGTCATTTCAAGTATGTGTATTTATCACATTTTACTTGATGTTACGAGTGGTCATGATGTGTGTTTGAAGAGAGCCATTAGGTGGCTTCCTCATTAGGTAAAGTAGTGCTTGAGCTGCTCCCCCTGTACTGTCTGCGTTTGTTGAACTTTAAGTCCAATTAAAATACATGACATTGAAGTGATCACAAGGGGAAAATTATTAAAACAATTTTTAATGGTTTTGTGTTTCCAGTATAAACCACTTTTCTTCCGCTTTTCAGGAACCTCCTGTTTTGGTTTTTACTTTTACACAGACTCCTGCTTCAGGAAGGGTGGGGACGAGTTTTCGAGGAGCTGTCTTTTCAGAAGGAATGGCACTTGAATTATACGGCAGAGCCTTTTGAGACCTGACAACAGTTTGATGGAAACATGAGGACATGATTGAGGAAATCTGAATCCTCACATTTCTAACATTGAAGTGCATTAATACTATATATCTTGCACATGATGTTAAGCGCAGTGTAGTCCCACCTAACGCCTTAGCTAACATTCACTCTAAAGACATCAACATGGATGTGTTTGCTTACAGAGCGGAGAGAAATGCAATGTTTGGATGCATAAGCACAAAAAGCAGTGGGATGAAAGGCGCCCCCTCCCCCGCCTCCCAGACGTGGGACAGAAGCAGCTAAGAGATGCGGGATGTTTGCACAGAGCAATTCGTAGCCTGACACCAAGGCCCTGCAGCGGCTGTACGTTTCTATCTTACATTGAGCGACCAGCTCCTCTCTGCCTCTGGCACTGGGAGAATCCTTTATCTGAATTAGGTGATCAATACGACCTGAAACACAGGATGAGGCACGAGCAACCTTTACCTGGGCTTCACACACACAAACACAAACACACACACACACACACACACACACACACACACACACACACACACACACACACACACACACACACACACACACACACACACACTCATCTGGATACGCAGTGTAGACGGTAATGAGGCTGTCTTTAAATGATACGTAATGAGCTGACAGTGGAGACAGTGGACAAAGAAACAGAACAGTAGCTATTCACACAGGATGAGCTTGACTTTTCTTGTTGTTACAAAAGCAATTTTTTTTTAACAAAACAGGTGAGCTCAGGGGTTAGGAGAAAAACACAGAAATCATTTTAAAGTGATTAGATTATTATTATTATGTTCTCCGTTTACTTAACGCCGTTATATAAAGAAACGTTTTACTCAGGCTTTGAATCAAAACGTTAGTCCGTACCAACATTTGGTTAAATATCAACTAGTTAGTTAGCTAATGTTCGGGGAGCAGGGCCACGCCTCAACAACACCTCTGATTACCTGCTAACACATCCTGCCTCTGTGGTCTCTAAATCCACGACCCACCCCCCTTTCCTTTCCATTCATCCACTCCACTTCCTATCTTATTTTAAACCACATTAGTAAACCACATCTCTCATCCCTTTGACCACGTGTCCTTCCCTAACCCAATTATCCCTTCCTCCATTCATGTGTCCGTTCCCATTCATCCCTCCCTCCCTACATCGCTTCGACCATTCATCCCTTCTTCCCAACAACTCTTTGACATTTTATGCCTCCTTCACTTCATCCATCTTTCCTTACAACCCTTCATCCCTCCCTTCCCATATTACTTAGACTCCCATCTTGCCCCTTCTACATACCTTTGACCTTTCACCCCTCCCTCCTTACATCCGTTTATCAATGAATCCCTCTCATCATTCATCGGATTTTCCCTACATCCTTTTCATCCATTCATCCCTCCTTCCCTACATTCCTTCATCCTCTCTTCCTGTCTCCCCTAATCTATTCTTCTTTCATCTGGTGCATACTTGTTGTCCCATTATAGTTACTGTCTGGGATCTGGTATTCAGATCTGGCAGAAACACGCCTGAGACTGAGCCCCCACCCTGAGTCTCTCTGTTGGACTTCAGTCTGTCCTCCAGACCAGCCTGACAGACAGCATCCCTCATCATCCTTCTTCAACCCTTACATTCAATATCTCCTTAAATTACATCTGTAACCGACACAGTGTTGAGGCGCAGTCCTTGCTCTTGAAATGTAGCTTTAAACTAATGTCGTGTCATTAAATCCACCTGTGCTTTCCTGCTTGCTTTGATCATAACTCTGCTAAAGGCAATATTGCCAAATAAAAATGTAAATATTACCAATGCATCTCTTTTATAATGCTGTGTTTTTCAGCTGGTTTACAGCTCCTAAAGCCTAACACATTTTTTTAAATATTTTTTTTTAAAAGAGAGCCTTGCTTCTGGCTGTTATTTTCTCTCACTTCTCATTTGTGGTATGTGCTATAATTCAACCCCTGTGCATGACTTTGTTAAATTCTAGCTTTGAGACCTCAAATATAAATAATACTTGGTCATATATTTTGGAACTTATTTATCATACATTGTGTCGTTGTTATCTGAGGTCTTTGACCAATACCGATGTACTTGTACTCTTGGGAGGGCTGTTTTTTAATAAGTTATTATTTTTGCCCTCCTGCTTCAAGTAACTTGGTTTTCTTGTGTGTATAATAAGGATTGTATTTTAATTAATGTGATCCTTTGTTTTTGAATAAATGTAAAAGACTCAACAAGACAAACCAGATGCTGTGTGAGCGCAGAGGCAGAATGATGCACTGATAGAAGGAGCATGGAGTAAGAGATGGGGGGGTGACAACATTTGAAATGTTCACAGATAATTTAGTACTAAGCCAGGACAGCAGCATTAATCATAATGTATGGATGATGTATTGAGGTCCAGGTGTTTTGCTTGTATAGCAAATGACACCTTGTCAATGATTAAGTTGTGCGGCACAAACTAAATGGATAGAAAATATATTAGAATTCAAAGGAAATGTAAACATAATTGGACCTAATATTAACTATTACTAAAATGTGATAATAATTTAGCAAAGAAGGTAGCATTTTGTTAATTGGCAAAATGTGCAATAGGTTTTCAAAGTTCATGGCAGAGAAATTATTTGGACATGTTCAACGGATTGCTGTGTGTGTGTGTGTCTGTGTGTGTGTGTGTGTGTGTGTGTGTGTGTGTGTGTGTGTGTGTGTGTGTGTGTGTGTGTGTGTGTGTGTGTGTGTGTGTGTGTGTGTGTGTGTGTGTGTGTGTGTGTGTGTGTGTGTGTGAGAGTGAGTGTGTGTGTGTGTGTGTGTGTGTGCAGTTGGTACTTACGGGGACCTAACAGGTAGCCAGCACTGTTCAGAGTCCAGCCACGCTTCTCCTTCGCCTGCAGGGTCCACAGACATGATCAGAGTCATCAAAATATCAAAAATGTTCACAAGTAACAAAAAGTATTATGGTTAAAAAACTCCTCTTCTACCTCTTTCTTTGTAGCCTGCCAATGACCAGTAATAATAATAATAATAATCCGTATATTTATTATAGCGCTTTATCATTTACTCTCAAAGCACTTCACAAATACACATTACACATACAGATCATACATACATGTAATGGTCATCTACTGTGGACAATACCCACAGGAGCAAGTTCAGGGGCCTCGTTTATAAGGGGATATTCGCTCAAAAAAT